TTACCATAAATACTGGAGGTTTTTTTCATGCCTTTTCTTTATTGCTGCCCATGGAGTCCAATTAAAACAGGGTTGAAAGCAACTTCTTGTGGCTTTCTGGATCATTGTCATCACCTCCCTGCATTCCCAAACGGGGAACTGGAGGAAATGGCTTTAGATGTCCTATTCTTAGCAGCTATTGAAAAATGTCAGGAGCACCACTGAGATGTCTATGGTAACAGGCTTCTTACACCAGCCCACGTACAGGGAGATTTTCAGTGCTGTGATTTCTCTAAGAGTATAGCTGTTTAAAGTAAGTATCTCAGCTGGCATGAAACTAACCTGGCCAGTGCAAAATGACATTTTATAAATGTAGTAGCTGCAGTGATAACTGGTTTCAGATTTCATCTGAAAGCCTTATTTTTCCTAGAACTCAAGGTTGATGCAGCTGGACAGTTGAAATAAAAACCTTCCCTCAGATAAACAAGGAATCTGCTCTTAATGTAAGTGTATTTTCACCAGCACTTGGATTTTAAAAAATGGTCAGTACTTCATTAATAGAGCATTAAAACTCATGCCATTGCCCTTGACATAGGCAAGGCATAGTAAGAAAAACATTTTATTTCCTTAATCAAGTCACTTTTCAGGCAAAACTCTCATGTTGTAACTCGTGAATCACAGTTTAAGAAAAGAAGTGAAAATAAGGAGATAGTAAGTACAAGTAGGGAGGATCTGAGCTGGATAATTTGTCTGATTTGGGTGGAAATTGGCCAAACTAACTTGCCTTGCCTTTGCTATGCTATGCAATGCTGTGGTGCGCTGTGCTACTCTTATTTCTCAACATCACAGAACCTTCTGGCAGTGAATTCTTTAACGTGACTAATAATGAAGTATGCTCTTTCTGTTGCTTTCTGCAGAAGGTTTTCCAGGTCGTTGTTTCACTTTAAATGCCTAAAGAAGATGTATCAATATGCATAGGTGTGGCTCTTTTTTAGAGGAGACAGGTTCGAGGGAATGTGCTCTGCCCTGGGAGCAGCAGGCAGGGAGTCTGGGGGCTGTCTCTGGTTTCACTGCAAGTGCACCTCAATGTTCAGTGCTGTTTTCTGAGAAAGTCTGGGAGCTTTTCTCCCCTGTAAGGGAAGTTTTTAGTCTTGCCTTTGTGAGTTTTATTGTGCTGAAAACATGAACTATTAGCTGAGGACTTCAGGTAGTAGGTGCAGGCTGCAGTGTGCATTAGAGACCTATGTAGGATCTTGATTTATGATTAATTGTTCAGGAACCTTGCGACAACAAAAGTAATTTGGATTTTTTTCTTAGAGATAGCGTGCTGAGGATATCTTGGGTGTGTAGATTGTGTGCTAACTGGCATCTGCCAAGTCCTGGAAGCATCACATCAAGTGCATTACTTATTTAACATGCTTATTAGCAATTTTGCTGACATTATTTGTATTACCTCACAATGCAACAAGGAGATAACAAAGCTGTGGAAGCCAATGGGCAGACCACAGATTTCAGGGAATGGAATCTTCTAACCAACCACAGAAAATGAAATTATCTGGGGCCTCGGACACTTTCTTGTTTTCAGAATGTCACTTTTTTGTTTCTTGAAGTAAAATGTGGTCATTTTGAGTTCCTGGAAAATTGAGAGTGGAATATATTTTAACTTTGGCAAGGAATTTACTATGGATATCATGTGCTTTTCACCACAGAAACTGAAAAAAATGAACTGGAGAACAAAGCAATGAATGATCATCCTTAAAATTTCATCATGAAAATACTTTATGTTTATGAAATAACTTTGCTACTTGGATGGAGGCAAACAACTGCATAAAGAAGTGTTAGAATCCAAAAACCCAGAAAAGCAGTCATGTCCTTCTTATTGGTACAAGTGCTACATTTCCAGTTCATGGGAGGACTGGACAATTTGGAACACACTGTCTCTGTGAAAGAGTATATATATAAACATGCCTCGGAGAGTAAAGTTTCAGGGCCCAAACTTAGCTTACTTAAAAAATTTCACATTTCCAATTACTACCATGAGTTCAAACCTCAGAGCTGAAAATACTCCACATGCAGCACTCAGAATCATTTCCTCTGAAAGATGAAATGCAACGTTCAGGTTTGAGAAATTTCTTGAATTAGCTTAAATATTTTTGGAAGCTGAAATGATAGAACTCCAAAAGGCTCTGCAGCAGTTAGATCAAGCTCAGTCTTATTGATAAAACTCAGCATCTACTGTTCACTGACAAGGACAGATAGTAGAGATGGAAATATTTTGCTGGGATGGATTAATCTATCAGGTTGTCTTCTTGTCTGTAGCAGAGCTTTTTAAGTGCTTTTGTCCATCTGTGTATTCAGTGCTACAAGAGAAAGATCCTCTATGAGTTCCTCTGATACGCTGTTCTAGTGTAATGAGCTTTCTAATTAGTTAATAGTTGCTAATATTCAGGCCCCACTTTTCTTTCAAATTCCATATGAAGATAATCCTAACTTTATGGCCTGCAGCCCAAACTTAATCAGAATTTCAGGGCTATTAATAGAGCTGCTTAAAATGCAGAATTACCTCCCATGGGGCTTTTTCGCACTGTAGTATTTGTTTTTATTCTCAGCTTGGAACTGCAGAAATTTTGAACATGCCTTATTATACAGAACATAATATACTAAAATAATGCTGCATGGTTTTGAGAAATCTCTTTTTTTTTTCCTTTTTTTTTTTTCTGTAAATCACATGATTTTCCCTTCATGTTTTAATGAAATGGTGCTATATTCTGAGTGACAAAAAAAGAGAAGGACTTTGTAATATTAAGAGATGCAATTGTTTACAGTAATGATGTCATCCAGCACTTTCCTCTATGTTGAAAACATTTGATCCTAGCACAGAATACGGTGCTAAATGAATGTGAATGCAAACAGATTTTGTTGCTTCAAAACATTTTTTTTTCTGGGAGAAGTCTGTCCCATGAGGTTTTGATCAGAACTTATTGCGGTCAGAGTTAGGATTCAGATCTCTCCACTAAAGCAAAGTGAGTGTAACCTGGGAGGCCAAAGAACCATTATTCATGTTTCTTCACCAGAAATTGTGAATTTGAAGACACTTCAGAAGCACTGATTCTGCACATATTTTTCTGTCTGTAGCTCTGAATCTGTTGGTAGTCATAGCAGAAAGTTGAAACTAGGTTTGATTCCTCTCTAACTTATGCTTCTGGTAATGACTAATAACTTAAATTGATACAGTTATAAACAGAGGTGATTGGTGAAGTCTGGGTTCTGAAAGCCAGAAACCAAGTTAAGGACACATAGGTCTGATATCAGCATCTGTGAAAGACTGCTAGGGATGATGGAAGTGTAAGAGTCAATTTCACTCTGTTACACTGAAATTCTGTATTTATATGTTCTAGTGTATATATAAATATAAACTATCTTTTTTTTTCTCAGATATCTTTTGATATGTTGAAAGCACATAGTTCATATCTTTTCTCTAAATTCCAGTAGGTTAAACCATCTGCTATCATTGTCTCTAGAGTGTCTGATTACAGTAAAAGCCTGATTAGTCCAAAGGGGTGACCAAAGGGAGAATCATTTCCAGTTCAGTGCCTAGCATATTAGTTAGCATTTTAAAATCCAGAAGAAATACAGGATGAGCAGAATGAATATCACCTATTTCACATCTTTGCTTTTCTGCTGTCTGAGAGCTAACCACTGATGGTTGGTGTAGCAGCTCAAAAGCTGTATAATCTGTCTATGAAATGACAGAAGCAGCATCAGTGTTCAGGTACTGACACACCATCTTTAAAGATTTTAAAAATCTCAGAGAAAATTATCAGTAACTAGTGATAACCTCTCTGGCCTAATAATATTTCTGTAGTTTTTTTCATATTGAAGGTAAAAGGGAATACTCCCAGTCATTCCTCTGAGGAGAGAACCAAGTCTGTCTCCCACTGCATTCAGCGACATTTTCACAATGGATGTTAGTAAGACCAGGATTGACACCCATAGTCATTTGCAGGGAAAACATCTACCTGTGAGGCCAGGCTGACGTAGTGTGTAATAAATTCTCCAAATCCCCTTTTAATTAATGAGTCCAACATTCATATGGAGGTAATTGCATGTAACACATCATTTGTGTTCCATCAAATTAGACAGAACCATTTCTATCTGAGAACAGGTTCCAAACATCTGCTTCTAGAGAGCATTATTACTGTTTGTTTGTACAGGACTAACCATGTGCCAGCTGCTTTACCAGCAGAGGAGCCAGGTCCTGGCTTCAAAATGTTTGCAAACTTGAATAGATTGCTTGAGCACTAAGGGGGAGAAAGAGAGCAGTGCTGTTGAGACAAAGAGTTTCCCTTGATCCCATCAGAGCTCTGACTTTTGCAGTGCTAGTAAAAGACCTCATTCATTGAATATATACTATCCCTACACAGGCTGAAGAACTCTCATTCTCATCCAAATTTAGTTGCTTGAAGGAGAACCTAAGCATGTTTGGTCTCCTCTAACAACTGGAGAGAGACAGCCACTTGCAAGGAAATGATCCATCCTATTCTGAAGAAAGACAGGAAGGATAAGTTCAGGTTCCTTCTGTAGTCGCCTCTCCCCATTAGCATAGCAAGATCCTAACAGCTTAAATTAAACTCCCAACTTCCATATGGCTGACAGTGGATGAAACAAGCCCTACCCTGAAGCCTCATCCTGTGAGCAGTCCTCTTGCTCAGTCCAGTTGCTGCTGCGTGTGTGTAGTGCACTACAACATGTGTGTTCAAATGACTCTGAATCGAAGGCTAGAAGTGATCCCATTGGGAATGGCCAGCAGATCACCTGCCAGCACATACCACTTGTATTGTTGATACTCTGGTCCCTGCCTGCACACATGCTCTACATGGTGCTCCTATGTCAGCCTGCCCGGAGAGGGTGGTCCTGGAGAGGGGTTCCATTTGCATTGTGCTTCCAGCAGTATGGATCTCTGGCCGCTCCTATGTCACTGTGGGCAGCTGTCTCTGATGCTTCTGGTGTGTGAGCTTCTCCTCAGGCATGAATCTTTAGGGGAAGTGTGCCTCTGGCACCCACTGGTACCCACAGAGGAGGCACAGCTCACACTGCGCAGAGCATATGGCGGAAAGCATCGCACAGAGAGAACATCAGAATAAACACGTTTGGGACAAAACAGACATGAAATCAGCATGTTGGAGTGAAGCCATACTCCAGTGGCAAGGAGGATTTTGGATGGAACACAGAGTAAGCTCCTAAATGAGAAACATTTATAAAATAATATGCATCTCTTGAGAAGGCAGATAGGCATGCCAGCAGGGGCTGTTCAGATGTGAGTTTTTGTTGAGTTTGCAGGAGACAACAAACTGGGGGGTTCAACAGTGAACCTGCTGGTTCACTGGCAGGTAAGGATGTAACTCAGTTGGACCTAGGCAGGCTGGAGGAATGAACTGACAGATACTTCATGAAATTCAGCAAGAAATAGTGCCAGATCCTGCCCCATGTGTGGATGAGCCCAGCACAACAACACAGGCTGGGGCCAAGTGCCTCAGAAGCAGCTTTTGGGGAAGGTCCTGGAAGTTCTGATAGTCAATAAGAGGGATATGGATCAGCAGCAAGTCCCAGCAACATCACTAGCCAGGAGCAGCCTGGAACAGAGTCAAAGGTCGAGGGGAGTCATTATCCCACTCCAGTCACTAGTTGTTAGACCACATCTGCACGTCCAGTAAGGGACAGACACCATTAAACCAATTGTTTGGGAGAGGCCCCTGAGATGATGGGGCTGGAGCACAGACCCTGTGAGGCAAGGCTGGGAGAGCCAGGCTTGTTTGGTCTGAGGTAGAGATGGCTTTGGGGAAGGGATGGACCTTACAGGACAGCCCTGTGGAGGGGTATCATTGAGGAGATGGCACAGAGTGGAAGGATGTGTCCCCATGAGGACAGTCAGTCAGGTTGCCCAGAGAGGCTGTCCAGTCTCTGTCCTTGAATGATTTCAAGACTCAACTGGTTGAAGCCCTGAGCAGCCTAATCTGACCTCAGAGCTGACCAGCTGGAAGCTGGAGGCTGGACCAGAAGCTGACAAGATGGAGCTGTGACCATGTCTGACTTGATGGCCTCAAATGACTGCTGCCCAGAGCCATGGTCTGTCCCCATCAGACACCAGCACACTGGGCAGGCTGCTCACCCTGGCCCATGATGGTCATGTGTGTCTGGTTGAGACTCGGAGGTTTGTGGGACACCAGGAACTGAAATACATGTGCACTGTGCAGGTATCTTCTGGTAAAGGACAACTTTGAAACTGGAGGTTGACCTTGGTTGGGACAGCTACATTTTTGAATAGTTGAAGCAAAACTGAAAGATACCGAATACCATTATGGGAAGCCTTTGTTCTGCCACCCCAGCTTTCTCCCTGAGAAGCTGCAGTGATGTTCAAGGTTCATCCCCGGGCAACACCACAGCTGGTGAGAGGGAAATGAAACCTTTCAAAGTTTAATAACTCTGTTTTTCCAAATATGCCAACCACCACACTAGGGAAGTTTAGAGGCATGACATGTCCCAGGTTGAGGGTGATTACAAAACTCTGCTGTTACTAGCCCATCAGCACTTGCTCTGCATTGACTGTGGTTGCCTGTAGCATCTCTTCTGCAGATTGTCACGAGACATGCTGGCCAGGGCGGTGCACTCATGTGCTTGATCCACCGCATCACGCACCTTTCTATCAGGGCACACTTCTGCTAAGAGGCTAATTGCCCTCCTATATCCTCAGCTTCTGTATTTATGTCTGTAGGAAGCCTGAGGAAGGAGATTTGACCTTTAAGGATCCTTGCTGTGCAAGGAATATACACAGTCTTTTTCTAAAGTGTAGAAAGCCAAGGGAGTTTGAATTTTCTTTCCAGGAACAGCTCAATAATAATTTGTGCATTTATTCAAATACAAAAGACCATTTTCCACACATCTTGGCTGACATATACCTTGGGCAGTTTTCTTGAATCTGTTACTATGGTACATGGCAAATACCAAACAGGTATTTGCAGGAGGAGCAGTGAAGGGCCAGCACCTTGTGCTTTGAAGTCTAGTTTTTTGCCAGGGATTGATGCTTCCCCTGTCTGAAGTCAAATCATGGAGTTGGTTGCAGAAGTATTCATACATTAGTCACATCAATGTAACATCCAGAGAGAGCCTGCAGATGTGCCTGAGAAAGACCTTTAATTCCTGGGTCCATTATTCTCTAGGCAATACTGGGAAGTGGGCATTTTCCCGGCTCATGTGAAGAGGGTCAGCAGTTGCACATTGCCACCGAGTCAGATAACAGGACACACAAGCCAGGCCAGGTACTGCTAATGGAGGAAGGGGAAGTTACAGAGTCTACAGAGAGGAAATGTAGCTCTTTTTGAGTCCTTTATTCTGAAAACTTAACATGTAATGGAAACCAATGCTGCTGCTTTGGTATGAAAAAATGCAAACCCAGCTTGTTATGAAGAGTAGCTGTGACAATTGAGTGATGAGTTAAGGTGATGGCAAATAAAGGCAATTCTTGCATGAGATTGTCCAATCTCTTTTTTTTTGTGTATCCTTTTGCCATCAATTGTATTTTTTTAGTCCTAATAGATGTTAATATTTTTGTCTCTTTGCTTTGTTTTGTTTTCTGTGGAGCCCAGTCGAGCACAATTTCTCCAATGTCCTAAACTGGTGATTACTATTTATGCTGCTGTAACTCAGAATATACTTTCATATCTGTATACATTTTAAGACAAGAGAAAATAGCCTCCTTTCATCTGGGAGGGTTTAGACTGGATATTAGGAAAAATTTCTTCACTGAAAAGTTAGCCAAGCATTGGAGCAGGCTACTCAAGGAAGTGGTAGAATCACTGTCCCTGGAAGTATTCAAAAGATGTGTGTATGTAGCTCTTAGGGACAGGGTTTAGTGGTGGACATGAAAGTGTTAGTTTAATGGTTGAACCTGATGGTCTTAGAGGTCTCTTCCAACATTAATGATTCTATGATGCTATGGTTTGACTTTACTGCTTTCAATATTAAACACAGTGCACCTTATTTAGCATTAAATGCTGTATTCTGTAGAACCCACTGTTAGCTCACTGATATATTACAGAAAATAATCAGTCTCAAGTACTGAAATGTATCAAAACTCACATGGAAGAAAAATCTCGCAGTGGAGTGTTTGCCTTTATCTAAACAAAACCTGCAGCCATTTCTCTGTTCAAAGATCTGATGGACATATTTCATTGGAACGCCTCACTTTCAGATGCTGCTTTCAGAACAACACAATCTAAAAACAATCAAAAATGTTTTGAGCAGATTCTCATGGAATATGAGAGGACCTAGCTGACATGTGCAGTGGAACCTGGGTTAAAAACCTGGGTTAAAAACCCAGGTGCTAGCCACCATTGAAAAGGTCTGGCCTTATGCAGAACTGGAATAAGAGACCACACACACTGTCCTAACTTAGGTAGGTTTGTCTAATTCCATGATGGGAAATGCCAAGTCAGGCAGTGAAATGGAGGCAAAGTGCTGTGCACAGTGACAAACAATGGCTTTGTTTGTCCTGCTGTGTCCCAGAGACAAACAGAAACCTTCCATGGACTGACTGAAACTAAGTGAGAAGAGATTTCAGATTTTAAGAGATTCCAGTCTGTACTTAAATAAAATGTAAGGCATCAAGTGAAATAAGGAGTGCTGGAGAAACTGAACTGCACTCCTACTTGGAGACAAAATGCATTTGCCAGCTTAGGCTGGGGCTGATATTTTCTCCCTGTGACACAGCTTGGCACAGAAGTCCAGGTGCATTACGAGGTGTGTTTTTATGCCTCCTGATGCCAGAAGCAGACAGCTGAGCCAGATGAACCCCTGGTACTTTTTGGTACAGCAATTTACAAGTAAGCATGTAATTTAAAAAACAATGTTGTGTCTTTCAGGCTTCCTAGTAGATGAAATACTTTGCTGTTCATGATGTATTTCTGTGTTTTGTTGGAAGTGGTTTTTTTCGCCACATTATAAGTGTACAAATGCTAAAAATTCTGTATTTGTAAGTGTCCCTGCTATAATAGACCAATGATTAAGAAGTTGCTTAATTATTTTAATGTTTATTTACACTTTTTATCAATCATCTCTGGTCTGTATTTTGAGTCCATTGTTTCCTATGTTCAAACTAATCCTAGATGACATAATTTTCACATGCAACTTCAGTTATTATCTCTTTTTTTGATGACTCACAATATCCTTTCAATGGCCATATAAACTGTATTCTGTATGCTTGTAAATAATTGTTCCCAGTGGAAATTGTTTGTTGAAATTCTCAATCAGTAGAATCAGACTATAAATTTATTTCTGACCTTAAAATCAATGAAGCACCTCACATGTAGCTGGCATTTCATCAGCTATTGCTGACCTTCTGTCCTCTGTGCAGGCTCTCGTAGCTGTGCTCTGCTTGAGCTATTCTGGATTTCTGCTGCCACTCAAATGTAGGCTTAAAATAGAATGACTCTCAGTACTGTCCACTGCCTCTGATGGGATACCAAATCAGCCAAAGCTTTAAAGTAATTTTGCATAGGCATTTCCATAAGGTAAGCACTGCATGAAAACCATCCAGGACTTACCAATTAAAATGAGTGACGGATACCCCTTTTGCAGGTTTCCTTTCATTTTGTTTCACTTAGGCATTTTTTTTTTTTTAGTGTTTCTTCCTCAAAGGATAGTGCTAATAACACCAAGGTTGTGTGTTTTATCCCAGTATGGGCCATTCCCCTAAGAGACGGATTCAAAGATCCTTCCAACTCAGAGTACAAATTCTGTGACTCTGTAATTTGAACACATGCTAAAAGTCTAGCCCTCTCCTTCTCCTCACCTTCCACCTGCAACTGAAGTACAGCCAAGCTATCCACAGCTGCTCTCTTGCTTATCTGGGGAAAATGCATGGGGACTCTGAATACCTACTCACTGACATGAAGTTTTTCAGGGCAGTACCGTTTCAAGCACAATAAAATGCTATGACATTGCAATAAGAAATTTCAATGATTTAGTCATAGTGAATTTAAATTCAGCAGCCTATCCTACCTATTAGTGTTGGTTCATTTAAATTCTTGGGGGGCCATTTCCAGAGATCTTTCAATATAACTGGAGCTCTTGGTGGAATATTGGTTACAGTTTAAGTGTTGGCATGCCAAATGACATTAAGAAGGTGCTAATTGTCAATCTTTTTCTTGTTTGAGCAGAACAGAAGAAATATGTCAGACATATCTTTGTCAGATCTGCTATTTTTTGTAGGTCCTTGAATATGTTTCCACACCACTACTATGAAGCCTACCAACACTTACTAAAAACTTGCATGGTGAGAGGTAGAAATATATTTTGTAATTTTTTTCTTTCCTTGGTAATTTTGGAACTCTTGAGCTTTCCTTCTGCTCAACTTCTAGATGCCGTAAAATTTATTATAAAGCCAACTGATGCTGACACCTTTTTCATTCAGCTTTTACAAGTAGAAAGGTTACATTTGCATGCAAGTACATTTGCATTTTCTTATTTACAGAACAAATATAACTATATATGAAGCAGAAATAGAAATGCCTTGTTGGTTATTAACCTCTTCTATAAGTGACATTTGAGACTTTACTAAACATTGTGTTGTTTTTAATATGACTCTTAGAATTAAAGCTCTGTGGAACGCTTGAAAAACATGAAGGTAGACTGCAGAAACATGGGCAGAAGCACACCTAATAGCAGAGTAAGAAAACACTTGTTTTTCATGTTTTCTAAAGTATTATTTACCTTTCTGTCTGCAGGATTCTGGATCTGACCCTTAAGTCTCAGCAGTGGAGCTCTAGCATGGAATTAATTTGACCATACATGTGTGCCTATTGCTGATTTAGGTGTTGTGAGGTATCCAAGAGAGTTTCATGGGCCAGGTAGATATTACAGAAGAGCTGTGAAAGACACTTCTCTGCTGGGATTGCTGCTGGAGATGGGATAATTAAAAGCAGCTCAAGATGCTTTTCTGTGGAGTCACGCCCTGACAGTCAGTGCAGTCCAGATAGCCATACATGTCCCTCTGTGTTTTATGGTGAGTTGAATAGCTCTCTGGGTTCTGTGAGCGACTTGATTATATCTGCACTGACAACAAAAGGAGCAGAGGTACCGAGTGCGCATGTGCACTTCTAAATTTAGCCATGCTAGTCTTTGAGCTGAATCCTACCTGAAGAGTTCAAAACATAGCTGTGCCAGAGCTGGTATACTGAAATTTCTGTTGTCATTTTTCATCAGCCAGCACTGGAATGTCTTTCTTTGATGTATGATTTTATCCAGAGCAGCAGCTGAAAAACGTACCGTGGGTGTCTACTAACTGCTGTCAATGCTGCCTCATTTGTTCTCAGCAGGGATACGGCTGCTGCTGCTTGCTCTTTATTCTGGGGATCCACAGATAATAGTTTTTCTTCTTTCTCTCTCTCTTCCACATGCCCCCATCTCCAAACACAGAATCACAGAGTCATAAAAACACATTGGTTAGGAAAAAACCTTAAAGATCATTGAGTCAAACATTACTGCAGCACTGCCAAGTCCACCACTGAACTGTGTCCCTGAGTGCCACACCTCGATGTCTGTTAAATATTTCCTGGGATGGTGGCTCCACCACCTCCCTATTCCAGTGCTTGTCAACCCTTTTGGTGTAGAAAATTTCCTTGGTATCTAATCTGGACCCTGGTGCAACTTGAGGCTGTGTTCTCTTGTCCTACTGCTTGTTCCCTGGGAGAAGAGGCTGACCCCCACCTGGCTGCACCCTCCTTTCAGGCAGTTCCAGAGAGTGATGAGGTCCCCCCTGAGGCTCCTTTTCTCCAGGCTAAACACCCCCAGCTCCCTCAGCTGCTCCTCACAGCACTTGTGCCCCAGAGCCTTCCCCAGCTCCGCTGCCCTTCTCTGGACACGCTCCAGCCCCTCAATGTCTTTCTTGCACTGAGGGGCCCAGAACTGAGCACAGCATTTGAGGTGTGGCCTCAGCAGTGCCGAGTCCAGGGGGACGGTCACTGCCCTGCTCCTGCTGGCCACACCACTGCTGATCCAGGCCAGGATGCCATCGGCCTTCTTGGCCACCTGGGCACACCCTGGATCATGTTCTGCTGCTGTCACCAGCACCCGCAGGTCCTTTTCCACCAGGCAGCTTTCCAGTCACTGCCCCCGGCCTGTGATGCTGTCTGGAGCCGTTGTACCCAAGAGCAGAACCCAGCACTTGGCCTTGTTGAACCTCATACAACTGGCCTCTGCCCTTGATCCAGCCTGTCCAGATTCCTCTGGGGAGCCCTCCTGCCCTCCAGCAAATCAGCACTTCCACCCAACTTCGTGTTACCTGCAAACTGACTGAGGGGGCTCTCAATCCCCTTGTCCAAATCATTGGTGGACAAAACCAGAAACTCTTCTGTCCACCAGCCTCAGTTTCATGGAGCTTTTTGTTTACAAGGTCTAAAGATGCTCTTGACATACCGAGAAGCATTTCAATGGAACTGGCTCCAATATTGAGTCTGGGGAAGACCACTTGTGATACATCCTTCTCTTCTTTGACTCTGTTATACAATCTTTATAATATACATAACTGGATAGTATTTTTTTAAGAATACAATATATGTTAATATTTATCAAGTGCACTTGTTGATGTGGACTATTGTTTATTACCCCAAGCAGGATGGAATATAATGTCTTAAAATATGATTGGGCTGCCAGGGAAAGATGCTTTCTGAAAAAGACCAGGTTTGCTAAAGAAAAGTGCATTGCAACATCTGACAGAGATCTGTGGGGACCATTGCTCCATAACCATTTTACTATAAGACTCTTATTTCAAAACATGCAATGTTCAGAGGAACACTAGGACAGATGGAGAAGAGAGGTTAGAAAAGCCTTGGGCATTTATTGTAGTGCTGTAGACACAGCCTCCTACCTGGTAATACTGCTCTTGCTCTAAATTCATATTTCAGTTTAGTGGCTCTTTGATTTAGCAGCTTATTCCATGGATCTTTTTGTTCTGAAGGTCTAAGAATGCTGTTAATATCCTGGGCAGCATTTTCTCTGCTTCAGAGGCTCCGATGTAGAAGGTGCAGTACAGGCCATTCCAGAGATTGTAACAGCTGTTGTGCTGGTTCACATGGGCACAGCATTGTCTCTAATAGTCATGAAAACTGTTTAATTGGTAAAGGCAACCAAACTCAAATGTTTTAGACCTCCCTGCATTATCATTACAGAACACTCTGGCATCAAAAAAGTTGATTGCAACAAGTGAGAATAGGATCAAATACTACGTTTTTATGCATCTGTTCTCTGACAGATTTTTTTTTGCCTTTGTGCAAAATAGTTTCCCTTGAATGTCATCTAGGCACATAAATATTGTGGATTTCATGCAGATTAATGAAGGTTTGATTCATTTCTATATAATTCATTTTCTTCCCAGCTGCTAATGGGAGGAGGGAACTGTGTTTGTGTGCACAGACTCTGCTCAGCATATGGTCCATAGCTAGAAGCAGATCACATCACCCAGCTGTTGTATCCTCCAGGACTGCTCCAGCAGATTCTTCAGACTCTTCAGAGTAAATTTTCCATAGAGCTCACCCATAAAGGGGTGATAAACCTGTCCATTTGCAAGGGACCAAGCAGTAGGAAGCAAGATGAAAATGAATTAAATCTTTGTAATATAACATACCAGTAGTTGTATGTTACGTCAGTACCCTCTGTTTACCCTGGTGTGAATGTGGATAAACTCTGTTGATTTAGTAGCATCTATTTTTAACTTTCTCCTGATTATGGATGGCAGAAAGAATTGTGTGTTTTTTGCTGGATTTGGGACTTGAAAAACAGGCTCCTCAGTTCACTGTGAGCAGCAGGAATAGATTATCTTCTTCCTCCTCTCCTTGTCCACTGTAATCCAATTTTGACCTCTGTGAGAGGTGAGAGCCACAAGTGTCACCCTCTTTTCCCAGTTCACGATAACATCTACCACTAAGCAGGATGGCTGTTTCTCTTCTGAATGCCCATGGCAGCTGAAAAATGAAGCAAAGGCAGTTACTCCTGTGTTACTGCCCGGGCACTGCATCATGACCAGACAGTAACACAAGTTGCAGTTGCTACAGATCAGATTCAAAGTGAGGATGAGAATTCGTATTTTCTTTCCCAGTATCTTCCTTCCATGTTCCAGGATACGATATTATATGTCATTTATAAGTTCAGCAAAACAAGTTTGCCCTTCTTATTTACAACATTTTTAATGGTCACTAGGGGTTGGGTAAATCTTTTGGCATCCTGTGTTCTGCAGCTGCCTATTATGACTAACACAAGTTTGGTATGGCTCTTGCTGGCTTCCTTTGTGCATTACTTTGTTTAAATTGGAGAGTTATGTTACTTCATATTGGCATATGTTTACATCTTCAGAAAACCATACGCTGTCTGAGACTAATCCAATTTATTCCTTGTTGACAGGAATATAGGAGGGACTGTCACTTGCTAGGCTCAGTATGAAATGTGATTTCATCCTTACTCTCCCCCAAAAATGAAAAGCCAACCAAGTGTTACAGAATGGAGATATTTTAAAGATCATGACAGCTGGGAAAGTTTTGCATTTCACTCAGCCTTTTCCAGATTTTGATGATTTTGTTGTCTTTGCAGTCTTAGTATAGCCCTGTTGGCGTATGAATCTTGTTGGATTTAACTTTCTAGGAGCTAACATTTACAAGCTTGGAGAGCCCATATGCTTCAGTAATTGTTTTAATTGAAGGAGATTCAGCATGTTGTGACACTGAAGTAGACTTTTTGTGGATCAAAAGTTAGGTCAGTATGTAAGTGGAAATTTTATTTGATGTCTTCCCCCTTATTACCAGAATGTTTTTGACTACCTTCTAGACACAGTGACATCCTTCCTTAGAAGGGGAATGTCTAGATGAACATCTCTTGCATGGTTCCTTGCTTTTTTTCTGGAGATCAAAGCTGTTTTGTGGGACAAACCTGCATGGAAATGCTGAAAGCTGTGCTGAGAGCTGCTTAGGCAGGAACTTACTTGAGGAGCGAGGTCTCAGATTATTGTCAGTACTGGTGAAGTTCATCTGTGCAGATGCCTCCAGTGTGGGCACCTCTATCAGAGCTGGTCATTCTCTGCTGTCAGGACAATCAGAGCAGACACACACACTTTTCTGAGGACTTCCCAGGGGAGGGAACTGCCCTGGAGATCTGATGGGAATAAGGTGCCTCTGCCTTGCAGCTGATTTGTAAAAGAGCTTTGGTGGGAGATAGATGTTCTCCTAGTACCTACTAGGAAGTTTGACTTGAGCATAGAAGGTGTGCTCTTCTGCAAAACAGAAAATTAAATGCCTCCAAGAGCCTTATAAATTTCTTTGTTCCTAATTTCCTTTCAGTCTAAGGTGCAGAGATCACTGTGCTGGCCTTTGTTGGACTGTGTCCTATGTTTTATATATATCTAAATGATGGTACATGTACACCATCAGTAGACTCTGTGGTTTTGTCCAGAGCTTTGCTCTTCTCTTTGTCCAGAAACACGTTGAGCTGTGCCTGAGAATATTGCCCAGAGTAATGGCTTTGTACTCTCTGTGAAGAAATCAACATAGAGGTGAATCACAGGGTGGCTGAGCCTGGAAGGCACCTTAGGGGATTGCCTAGTCCAGTCTGTTGCTGAAAGCAAGCTCCCCAGGACCATGTCCAATCTAGAGACTAAATAAACTCCTTGGGCCACCTATGCCATCTTCTTTTATCCATCTTCATGGTAAAAAATGCTTTTTAAAGTGCAGTGTCCTATATTTCAGTTTGGGCCTATTGCCTCCTGTCCTCTCACTGGGCACTACGGAAAAAACGCTGCCTCCATCTTCATTACATGTTCTCATTTATTTTAGTTTCCTGGGTGTTGTTGGAACAGATACAAGAAAGCTCAAATGTTTTCTCCTGTGGCATATTACCAAGACAGCTGAAGTTCT